CTGGAGGGTTGCGCCACCGGATTCGACTCAGAGGCCTGTTCTGCGACCATTCTAGTTTCAGCGCTCAACACTGTCGCAGGCTACGTTATCGGTGGTGGTATGGACTGGTAGTTGTCAGCCGGCTTAGAAGCTGTCTTCATGGGTTCAGTTGATTTTGCTGTCGCTGCAGGAACAGCTCGTTTCAAGTGAATTACCTCGTCTTTGGTGTGCAATGCAAACAGAGGACCTGCGACGATAGACTGATTTGGCAGCATAGGATGCCGAAGATTACTCATCAAGGGCCGATGTTTCTTGATGCAATATGTCTGTGACAATTTGTAGAAGCAGTGACTGGCTCTGCGTAGCTAGTACAGAGGTCACAAGATACGCCAGAACGTCCTACAACAACCCACCGCTGTGGAACAGTGCCAACTAATTCGGCAGGCGCGTTCGGCTTTCTACTTCGCGCAGTTACGAGTTCTGGAGGTGGAGCACCCTCAGGCGCTCCCTCGATACCCGCTTCTAGGCCTAGCGTTCAGCCTGCACGAAGGCCTCCTCCTCTGCAGCCTCCATGGTTTCACGCGACGCAGCGGCCAAATGCGCCTTTTTGTTAGTGCCTTCACGATGCGCTGGAATTGTCGCCTGACGTTCCACCTCGTGAAGGTCATTGCGCTCTCCTTCCGCTTCGGCCTACCGCTACTCTCGCTCTGCAGGTCGGTCTTTTGCTAGCCTGCATTGTGCAGCCATTTTGGTCCGATAAATAGCGACTCCTTTCTTGGGCAAGCGCCTGCTCTCGTCAGAACCCGTTGTGGACACCGTGATGGGCTCACTGGGAAATGGTTCCTGTGGAAGCACTCTCTTCCGGGATATTTGAACCTCACCCATTTCGTTCGTGGCAGCGGCAGCAACAACGTTGCTCGCCAGTGGCGGCGCCTCATCGCGCAATCCCAAAGCTCGTTTGTGGCTGGCTTTATCATCATCATCCACCAAATTTCGTTGACTGTCCACTACAGCTAACGGTCGATAGTCACTCAGGCACTCTACTGTAAGAGATCTCGATAATACTGTAAACAGTAATATTCACAATAGCCAGTCTTGCATCTTTTCTCGGGTTGTTAGAGATCGTTAACTTCCAACGCTGTATGGTAGTACTAACGATGCTGCTGCAAACCTTTCACAGATTTGACTCCGGTCTTTCAGCATAGCTTTGTCGAATTCGGGTGTGATGCCTCATTTTTGGTGCCTCGCTACTCAGCTTTGGGTTGTGTCACAAACTTGCGATGGATTGGACTTAACTGCTTGTGAATCACTCGATTCTATCCTATTTTCTCTCACTTCGCTCCAACTCACTCAGCTGTCTTATCTGCGGTTTGCCAAAATGATTGGCAAAACTACCAGTTGGTATGGTGTCACCTTCAACCACCGAGTATTGATTCACTTAAGCAATGGCTGTTTCGACCATCAGTGTTCGACACTGCA